ATAGAACAGTTTAACGGACTTCTTTACCAATGCTGTTTGATTTGATTAATTAAACGTATTGTTAACAGCAAGGTGCTGGAGTCATTTTATTTGAAGGTGTTACGCATTACACTAGGTTTCAAAAATCTTGATGGCTTACTTTTCTACGTTTTTTTTACGTTTAACGAAGTGTTCAGCAAGCTGCTTTTGGAAAATAATGATTGTTTACCTTTTTACCTTCTATTTTCGGATCTCTTTCTCTTTCCACTCATTCTTAGTTCTGGAAAATTCCAAGAAAATAAATTAGATAACGTTTTTGTTCCTTTGATGCAAACATAGGACGGAATCAGTTTCATCACCAGAAAAGAAGTGTGGTGTCTCCCAGCTGTAGTTGACAGCTCATTAAATAAATATTTATTTCTTGGAATCAGTACATCTAAGACACTCACCTGTCCAAGCTTCATCTTCTAATTATTTATCATATATTTTTTCAGTATTTTTCGCAAATATATGCCTTCAAAGAATTTTCTAAAAAAATCTGAGCTCACTGGAATACAAGTTTTTATAGGTTGAAAACTTTACTATATAAATTTCAAAATAAAATATCAAAAGCAGGCAGTTCTTCACCATTCTTTATTCTTTTTGACGTAGCACTTGGACTGTGAGGTATATAATATATTAATACTTTCAGAGACTTAGATACTCTGTATTTAAAGTATTACTTGAATGCAGAAGAAGCACTTGGCGATATTGCATATTTTATTGAAACCATGAACAAAGAACATAATTATAAAAATCCGAAATGGGTTACATTTGGTGGTTCGTATGCCGGTGAGGAAAATATATTTACATGCTATTCTTCTGTTGACTGTTTTGAGCAGTAATCTTGTAGAATAAGAAAGGTTGATTGAACTAACTATTCAAGCTATTCAGCTGATACAGACTGATACAGCACCCTTCTCTGCAGCTAACATTCTTTTCCTAAAATTTGACTCATAATTTCATAAAATCAGAAGGGAGAACTTGAAAGAGCAAATTACGTGGCGAATTATGCTTCTTTCAAGCTTACTCTTTAATTATTTATTCTCAAATGGGAGACAAAAATCTTTCGCAAATAACATACAACAGAATAAGTGTCAGGTGTCAATAGAAAGATCAAAAAGCAAAACAACAATTTTAGTTCTTTAGGCAGAAGTGTACAGCTTTTTTGCGTGAAGATTTTTTCCAAAATTTTATACTTTCATACGCATTTAGTTAATTCTGGATCGTGGTATAAATTTATGATTTCCAAAGTCAAAGTGAAAGAAATTCACATATTGTTGACGTGCGGCCATAAAAAAAGTGTACCTTAGAAGCGAATGTTTTTGTTAAAAGAATTAGTGCAGAATTTTTTGCCGAATAGTTGAGCGGCTCAAGTGCAAGATTTTATTCGGCAGGGATTCAAATAAACCACCATAAACAATTTAAGTCCACTCTAATAAGGCTTTTTGTTTGAACTGATTTTCCCGTAGCAAAATGTATTTCATTTCGTTTCCTAAACCTGAAAATATTTTCGTGCAGCCAGGAGATATTAAAAGTATTTTAAAAGTTTAAAAGAATCTGCAGCTTACTTTTAAATGGCATATGCTTTCAAACACTGATATTAGACGATAACACCTAAAATGTCCGTCTGCGCATTCATCTTTTGTAAATCTAATTATTTAGACAACTTATTTCTTGTCTTCTTTCGTGACGTACTAGTAAAATAACTTCTTTCCCTCGTTTGGCAATATTATCCTTTTTTTTCTTCTTCTACGTTTCTCTAAAAAACTTTGCAGTTTGTTTATTATATTAAAGTCTCTTTTACTTAACCTGAATTTACGTTTTTTATCAAAGCAGAATAGAGGCAAATTGAAAAGAAAAAGTTTAAACAGACTCCCAAGTTTTTTTAGAATTTTTCTAATCTGCATTTGGAGGTAGTGCAGGAGAAAGACAAATTAGGAGCTCCTGCTGAAGAAAGATTTGGACTTAGAATTCCAAGACTACTAACAAGCTAACAATGCTACACATTGTTTCTGTATTACTGCTCTCTCCTATCCGATCGTAGCGGAAAGATGAGAAAGTCTGAAAAAAAAACTGCACACAAACTCACTAAGGACCAGATAAGATAGCTTTTCTGGTTTTGCTAATTGTTGCCTTAACGAAGCAGATTGTCGTTTTCGAAGCTTACAGCTAGTGGATGTCCGTGCTTGAGACTCGTTCATCCTCCCTCCATTCATTTCAATTTTAATAATTAAGTAATTAAAATGCATAAGTGAAAAAATTGTATTTCGCGATAAGAATGACTTGCATTAGCAGTTAAATTTTACCGTCTCTTTAAATTTAACCAGAAATCGAGAAATACAATGTGCCTGTTCCTGAACATTTTTTTGTTCTTCATCGTCAATTTTATTTCTCAAGGTTTTCTGTTATTAGCGTCTCAATCGCACCCGGTATCTGTAAAGGTGCTTTTTCCACAGGGTAAAAATATGACGGCGGCTGCTTGCAGTAGGCAGTGGCAGTAGAATCTCAAGTTTGAGGATTAAAAGATGCGACATTTCTGGCGTAAATTTGAATTGTAGTAAAATCGAGAAACAAGTGGTAATTTGAAAATTATAAGAAATGCAGTTAAAAATTACTTTTATTTTAGTTCATAATAGGCTGTTCAAGGCAGCTGCATCTATATAAGCAGTAAAAGCGCTGTGAGAACGTATATGTTTGATTTTTCAAGCTTGTATCTCAAAGCTTTGAAAGCGCAAAATTTTCACACTGAAGCCTGGTTCGAAATGTGATAATTCAGAAGTTGCCTAGTTTAACTGGAAATATTTGTTATTCTAATTGTAAGACTTTAATTTCTCAATGTATTTTTTGAGATATTGAGAAAAAGTTAGCAATGAAGACGAGATTGCAAGCGCACTTGATATGCACTTCTTTAAATTGCTTTCCTTGTCTCATTCTTCACTGTTTCTGTGATTTAAAATACGAAAGCGACAGATTTCTTGCTTAAATGAAGCTAATCTTTGGCAGTTTTTGGCTAAAACAATACTTAAACCCTCCCGCTTAAAAACGACACGGAAGTGTTCGAAACAGTATTTGATGTCAATATAACACTTTTTAGGGGTTCTCTCCGCTTGGTTTAGAGAATATTACCCAGATTTGACAATAGGAGCTGTGGCTAGTTCTGCTCCAATTGAAATAAAGGCTGACTTTTATGGTATAATTTTTTCTCATTTTGGCTTTTTGTAGTCACTAAGAAATACATAATGGTAAGTCATGTTTATGAACAAGCGGTTTGATGATTAGTTGCAAGAGGAATGTGAGAAATATTTATCTCTTTGCTGTTGTTATTTTTTTCACCTTTACCAGGTCAAATAATCTTCAAAAGGCGTTGGTTTTTGAACGTATGAAACTGTTTCGTCTTTTTTTCAAAAGAACAAAAAACTTTTAGACCTTCATAAAATTTAAAATTTTGATAGGGGGAATCTGTAACTTTCTTGGCACTGACATATTGACACACACACACACGCACACAAACAAACTTTTTTCTTCATATCAACTTAATGAGTTAGTCAATTCGTGAACTTTTTATTTAGAGTACGTAATGAACGTTGAAACATCAATAAAGTCTTCGAGTCGTGGACAAGAGTGCTACAAAACGCTTAAAAATGGATTTGATAAGATGTTTGAACAAGTGCAGTCGGTAACAGGACGAGTTGCTCTCTCAAAATTATTTGTGTAAGAAACTGTGATCCTTTAAGTTTGTTTAATTTTTATGTATTTTACTGAGAATTTACATAGAAATTTTCAAAACAACTTAATTTTTTTCTCATCTAGCTTTCCGTATTTTTTGTGATTTTCTTTGGTACGTGTTAACAACTGAAACTGTCACTCATTGTTTCAGCTTCTTTTACCATCATTACAACTCTTATTGAAAGCACTTTTTAAAATGTTGCAGAGAGTTAGATTTAGCAATTACTTCATCGTTTGTTACAAATTTGAGACGCATATTCGTGGCTAAAAAAGTGCCATGTTGTAATTTCTTAATCACAAGAGACTTTCTTGCGAAGGTGGGTCAGGCTATGCCAAAAAATAGCAAATTTTTGTTTTTTACAACTATAATCTACTTGCGGAATTATGTTTTTTCGTTTACACTTAAACACGATGTTGGTAGCGCACAGAACACAAAGGTTTAATCAGTCACAACAAAATAGCTTTCAAAGAATTTGAAGGGTTTATATTTGGTAATGACGTCTTTCTTAGGCTTTCCTAAACTACAGAATTTGGCGTGAGGTTGCGAAAGTAGGGTGGATTTCATATATTCTATTCTAAAAAGGATTGGCACATTAGCAGCAGTAAAACTTGTTTATTCTTGGTTGCGTATAACCGACTGTCAAAACCAAATCTTAGGCCATTTCGTTAGGGAGTTCAAAAGCTTCTTGAGTGATCTAACTTACTAGCAAAGATGAAAGCTTCCAATTACAATATGAAAATAAAGGAAGGACTTTTTAGGTAAACTTCAATGTTATTATATAAAAAATAAGCTATGAACATTTGAAGACAGCTCTTAATTGTTGAAAATAAACGGACTCAGTTAACATTCATGTGGTGGTAATACCTGAAAGTCGGCAAGATAATATTTTCAGATTTTTAAATTTGAACTTGAATTCTAGCAGTCATCAAAGCTTTAAGGTAATTTAAGATGTTAAGTGAACATTTGCTGGATGACTGTGTCGAAGGTACGGTTAGGGCTGCTGAATAATCAAATTGTAAGTACACTTTAACAAATTTATTTGGCAACAAAACTAAAAAAGTAGTTTGTTGCCAAATAATTTTGTTAAAGTGCTAATTCTAATCTCAAGGTCTCAGTAAGGTTTTGGCAGTTTCATTCTAATTAAAACCTACTCAGCTTTGGTTATATGAGAAACTTCTGCGTTGTAAGTTATTCACAATTAAAAATTCTTATTTTTGGCATATCGACTAACATTCTGTATATATATGTAAATAAGTATAAGAGTGTCTAGCGTAGTACCAAATTAGATTTAAAGTTTTCTATATATTTTTTCATTGAAAAAGCAAGGCTTTTTTTCTAACTAACATACACCGAATTCTTATATAACAAAGTTGGCTTTATAAATTTGTATGGTTCGACTCCTAACTTATTCACAGTATAGCGGTTGAACTGCTATCGTTTTATGTACAAATGCTGACACTAGTTCAGAAACATTCCAATATCTGAAAGAAGTTTTCAAATTAGAAAGTGAATGTAGATATAACTGGTTAATAGATAAAATATAAAATTTAATTTCAAAACTTCTTGACTCTATCTTTTGAGGGAAGAATACTGTTTAGAACATCAAAGAGCCATCAGGAGTTTTTAAAAAGGAGTAAACTCTTTTAATGATGTAAAAGATGTGAAGAAAACCCATTGTGTGATATGTATGCGTTTTGTAATGTATGCTTTAAAATTATTTTGCATTAGGAAAGACTGCGATTACGTTGAAAAACTTTGTAAGATTTAGTTTTCTCTAGAAAAAGTTTCTCAGTACAAAATTTTGTTTCAGATTAGACCCTCCGTGGGATGAGACGAGTAAACCATCTGATCTTGACATTCAGTACTTCTTTCAAAGTGTTTTTGGTTATTTTGAAGGTGCAGTTCAGTACAACAATGACAATCGAGTGAGAATCTGCATTTGTTTTGATATCACAGATAAAAACATCAGTAGTTCTATGATTAATAACTCATCGACGACACCAATGAACAACATTTTACTGAATAAGTTTAGCGTTATTCAGAAAAAGAAGATATTGAGGAATATTCAAATACAACTGTTAACAAAATATTTTCCGTAGTTTTAAATTTCAAATTTC